TTGAAACTTATAATAAAGAGTGTTATGTTTTTTAAATAATTTATTAAACAAATATTTAAAATAAAGCAATTTATTATTTTTGAAATACCAAGTGATTGAATTTATTGATCAATAATTGATTTGTTTGGACTATTTCGAAAAATAAATTTCTTTGAATCTAATAAAATTTATTAAATCCAAAGAAATCGTTCTCTCTGTGTATGATTTATGGACACATATTTTAGAGACAGTTGAACGCACACACATGATAAAAATGTAAAATAAAAACCATTCTACAATTGCGAATTGGGATACAATTATACAGTATTATACTGTTAATACTCTAATATTTGATACAATACTGACATTATAAATACTTTAAAATATTTTATTTTCCAAATCAATCTCAATGCGAAATAATATGAGATACAAGAAGAATCAGAAAAATGATCCCAATAGTGATTTTTATAAGCTGTAAATTTAAATATTTTCACTAGATCGTAGACCTACCATAAAATCACTTTCGTTCTCGATCAGGATCTGTAGATTATAGATACTCCGATCGGCAAGAACTCGCACAACCTCGCTCCGATTTAATTAATAATCATGCTCCGTTGCTTCGCGGCGACGCTTCATAAAATTATATTTAACAAACAAAAAGAAAGAAAGAGAGCGAAAAAGAGGAAGAGAGTGACGTAACGATAAATGTATATTACGATAAATTGCAGAAAGAGCCGCTCACAGATACTAATAAAATACACGATCACACACTTGTATTCGCGAAGGTAATCATGTAAAATAATAACGACAATAAATAGCTCGTAAGCCAGTCTAAGCTAGACACGTGTCGATAGTCGTAGATAGTCAAAATGAAGTTGAAGAGCGAAGAGGTCTACACAGGGGGGTCGAAGTCGAAATTATCGGCCGTAGAGGTCCCTTCACACAGATCTTTGTATATGAAATGAAATAATTCTGCTCTTAATAATGACATTATTTTCGAAGAAGTACGCGCATATCGAGGACACGGGATACCACACTTTCGTTTGGTATAACGAGTTGATTGTAAACTCCGGCAAGAAATCAATTTATGATTACTATTAAGCGTTAATATCGATGAGAACGTAAGGAACTATTCATTGCGGTCTACCTGTGTAAGAGTTCAGTTTTATTGGTACAATTGCGAATCGATAATTATCATATCATATAAGGGTGTAACTATATTAGATATATAATATTGTATAATATGTAATAAAAAAAGGATTAATGCGTAAGTGGGTTGTAGGCAGTTTGTGTGAATGGGCCTAGAGGATATTGAAACTGATCTCTTCGACCTACATGCGATTAAAAAGAATGCGATTATTAATATTAATGAAGTATGAAATGGATATAAATATCTAAACTGAATAAAAGAGAGAGAAAGAGAGCGAGAAAGAAAGAATAAATGGAAGAGTGCAAGAGAGAGAGAGAGAGAGAGAGAGAGAGAGAGAGAGAAGAAGAGACAAGAGAGAGAGAGTAGAAC